CACACACACACACACACACACACACACACACACACACACACACACACTGTGCTTGGCTTCCCCAGGGGAATGCACGGGATGGTCTTGCCACCTAATCATAGCATCATAAAATCTCCAGCTGGGCAGGGCTTTCAAGATCATCTCAAATCAGTTGGGATATTTAGCCCGGAGAGAGCAGACTTGGAGGTGGGGGTGGATGGCGTTGCCATATTCAGGTGGGATGAGATTTTTTTTTCTGCTTGGCCCCAGAGCTCAGAACAGGAAGCAATGATGAGCTGATTGGGCTACAGAGAGACAATGTCCTCTTGACATGAGGGAAAACTTCCTTTCCAGTAGACTTGTCCTAAAGTGGACTGGGCTGCCTCAGGAAAGCTGCAGGGGATCAGGGCGAGAACATGGAATTCGGAGCCAGGACACCCAAGCCAGGCACTTCACCAGATAGCATAGGTGACTAGGTACTCAATGTAGACAGCACTGCTTCTGGAGTCAGGAAGAACCGAGTTCAAATCCAGCCTCAGACGGACACTTCCTAGCTGTGGGACTCTGAACAAGTCATTCAGCCTCTGTCTGCTTCAGTTTTCTTATTTGTAAAGTGGGGACGATAGCTCTTACTCCCAGGGTTGTTGTGAGGATCAAACGAGGTCATATTTGTAACATACTTTTTAAACCTTAGAGAGGTTTTAACTTTTAAGGCTTTTATTAGGTTTCTGGTCACTTTTATTAGGAGATGTGGAGCCATAGGCAAGTAAGCACCTTAATTTCTCTGCACCTCAGTTTCCTCCTCAGTAAAAATTGGGATAATTATAATCACAACATACCCTTAGTGCTTTGACCTTTGCAAAGTCCTCTGACTTGCTCATGGAAAAGGTTTTGCACTATCAAAACGTGTCACCCATCACAAGGGTTTTTTAGTGGACACTGGATGGCCACACGTTGGGAATTGTTGTAGAGGGAATTCCTAAGGTATGATAAGTTGCACTAATTCCCTTCTGAAGTCCCTTGTCACCCTGAGATTCCATGTGAGATTCTAGTCCTCTTCTCTTACAGGAGAGGAAGCTGAGACCCAGAGAGAGTAAATGAATGAATTACCCAGGGTTGAGCTGCTAATGGGATAGAGGTGAACTTGACCTCAGTTCTTCCAATTCCAGACCCCTCACCCTTGGGGCTATCATAGGCTACCTCTCAATCCCCCTTCTCAGTGGATCAAATCCTTGGAGGAGGACTGACCAGTTGGTCAGCAGAAGGGATTCCAGAGGAGAGGTACTAGTCCGTCCCCTCCCCCCAATCCCTTGAAGATGAATCTATGATCGAAGAATTTACAAGTTGGGAGGGACCTCAGCCATCTAGATCTCCTTTAGAAGGAACCTCAGGTGGACTTCGACATCGTCCAGTCCAACCCTTGACCAAAGCATTGAATCCCCTCAATAACATCTAGTTTTTGCTCCAGGACCTCTAGTGATGGGGAACTCGACACTGTCCAACATGAGCTGTTCCATTTGGGGCCAGTTAGAATTATTTAGGAAATTTTTCCTTGTATTGAGCCAGAATCAGCCTCTGTGTAACTTCCAACCACTGGTCCTAGAGTCTTGCCTTAAAATGGAAGGCCAATTTAGGCCATTGAAACTGATTGTTCACTTGAGAAAAAGGTCATTTTCTTAAGATTAAGAAAATGAAGCCACAGCGCTTCCCCACAAATTTAGTTCAGAGAATGACACTGCCTAAGGTGGCATTAGCAAGCATCTCTGTACCTTCCTGGGCCAGTCAGACCTCACTTACTGGAACCAGTTGGGAAAAGGCCAGTCTGGGAGTGCCTCCCTCTGCCCACATCCCCTTTTGGGGCCTGGCGTTCCTGGCTCTCCTCCTCTGACTGCCACACTCCTTTCTGCATGTGATCACCAATATCACCTTCCTCACAATCATCACCATCACTTTCATCATCACCTTTGGAGGGCTGAGGCTTCCCTGGGTGCACAGCACAGTGGTGGGAGCCCCCATCACTGCTCTTCTAACTCCGTGTTTCCATGAACCTCAGGGTGAACAGGGACAAGCAGGCATCCAAGGCCCCCCTGGGCCACCTGGTCCCCCTGGACCTTCTGGACCTATTGGACCTCTGGGTAACCCGGGAGAGCCAGGGCCCATGGGGCCACCCGTAAGTATGATCATCTTCTCCCCATTCTCCTCCCTGTAGCTTCTCATGCAGCCACTGAAATGGAGACTAGCTAACTCCTCCCCAGCCGCCAGAATGGCAGGAAGAAACCTAGCTGAGGACCAGTGAACTGGGGGTAGCCTTTCGCCTTTCAAAGCGTTACCCTGAAGAAATGCTGGTATCATTCCAGCAGTTCATGGGTTTGATCAGGGGCCTGCCGAGGGAGGCGGTAACATTCAGACGAGGAGTGTGACCAGAAACCAGACCAGGATCCAGCCAGTCGGTCCCTGCCTCCCAAGGCCGAGAGGCTGGCTTGAAAACAATCTCTGGTGTTGGGTTCAGCTAGAAGTGAAAGGAGGTATGGGCACCCACAACCGAATCTCTCTAATGATCTCTTTGTCCCACTCTTGGATCACAGGGCAAAGCAGGAGAGCCAGGGAAGCCAGGCAAGGATGGAAAGGTATGTTTTTATGCTGTTCTTTGGATCTCTCTGCCACCTGGGTGGCACTGCCACAAGGGTACTGTAGCACCTGGAGGGAGCCCATTGGCCAAGAGAAAGAAGGACAGGAGGACACAAGAACCACTGGTCCAGAGGGGATCCAATGGAGAGGTCATTTAGGCCATTCCCCTGCCTCCAACTACAGATCAAATAGGAATGTTACTAGGACCATGGGTTTCCAAAGCCCCCTTATTGCAAGTCACATTCTTATGATTAAATGCCAGTATGAAAGAAGAAGATGGACAATCCCTAGGAGAGACAGGAGGGTGTGGACCTTGGAACCTGGAGACTGGGGCTCTGTCATGTCACATTTAACCATTCTGAGCCTCAGTTTCCTCAGCTGTCCAATAGGGATAATGATAAAACTAATATTCTCTACTCTATAGGGTTACATTTTTCAAGCCTGAAAGTGCTCTAGAATTCAGACTAGTCCAGTCATTTCCAAAGATACAGTAATCTAACCTAGTTCAAGCCCCAGGACCCACCTATTGATTTTGTAAAGCTTCAGGTCCAGGGCAGATCACAATAATCATGTGAGCCCAGGGCCCAGCCCATGGGAGCCATCTTTCCTCTGGTTCCGGTCTTCCATCCCTACCCACCATGGCTCCCAGTAGAGTCAGCATTCTTATCCTCTCCCACATTCCCTGCTTGTCCCTTGGAAATGTCCTTCACCCAAGAGAGAATGCAGCCCTCCCTTCCAGGAGAAGGTGGGAACAGTTACCAAAGAAGGGGCCCTTGGGGACTTGAGTGCATTCAGAAATAGCTTCAGGAAACCACAGCTGCTGGAAGAAGTTGGTTTTTAGGAAAGGGTCTGAACTTGGAAATAGGTAAGGCTGGGGGAAGGGAAGATGTGGGGAGGAGAAGTGTGGACTTGGACCAAACCAAACCGTCCCATCTCCAAAGACGACCTCACCCATTTTCATGGAAAAAGCATTCCCCTCCTCCAAGGAGCTCCCTGTGGGACTTCGAGTGAGGCCCCTCCCCTCTCAGGGCCTCAGTTTCTTCACCTATAAAAGGAGAAGGTTGGGTCAAATGATCTCCCAGGTCCCAAAGACCTCCATTGACTGGGAGCTCACCACTCATCCAAAGAGAACAGGGAGCAACATCCCCAAAGTTTCCATGCCCTGTTTAATCAGAATGCCTCCTCTTGACACTAATTCAGCTTCTAAATGCCTTATAAATACGTGTTCTGCCCTGAGGAGCCTCTCCAGGGTCTGAACACACCCTTCAGTTTTCTTTCTCACCCAAAATAACCTATGCCATTGCAAATCACTTAGGGAAGAAAGACTGTCTCATACTCTGCTCCTCTTGTCACCCACAGGGTTTACCTGGATCTCCTGGACCAAAGGTGAGAGCAATGAAACAGTCTGGTGGCCTGCAGTCGATAGGGAGAGACTGGAAGGAGGATGAGGGAAGGAGAAAGACACACAAAGAGAGAAAGAGACAGAGATGAAAGACAGAGCAGAGATAGGGGAGGGAAAGAGAGAAAGGAGAGACAGAAGAAAGGGAGAGAGAGAGAGAGAGGAAGAAGAAGAAAAAGAAAAAGGAGGAGGGAGGGAAGGAGAAAGACACACAAAGAGAGAAAGAGACAGAGATGAAAGACAGAGCAGAGATAGGGGAGGGAAAGAGAGAAAGGAGAGACAGAAGAAAGGGAGAGAGAGAGAGAGAGAGAGAGAGAGGAAGAAGAAGAAAAAGAAAAAGGAGGAGGGAGGGAAGGAAGGAGAGAGGGAAGAAAGAGAGAGAGGAGAAAGAGAGAGCCGGGGTTGGTGAGATGAGGCTCTGAGACTCATGGCAGTGTTTCATCTGGCTGGTGGCATAAAGCATAACCCAGTCTGGCTAACATCAAAACCATCTAGGAAATCAATCAATTCCCTGGTATTCATTCAGCATCTGCTAATTACCTAGCCCCATACTAGGTGCATGGGAAATACAAAAGGAGTACAAGAAATGCCCATGTACTCAGAGAAACTGAGCAAATCAGAGAATGTTATAGCTGGAAGGGATCGCCAAGATTGTCTAGTCCAATCTTTTCATTTGACAGAAAAGGAAATTGTTATAAGAGCAGGAATCCTCTCTACATCATTCCTGACACCCGGTCATCCGGCCTTTGCCTGAAGACCTCCACTGACTGGGAACTCACAGCTCGTCCAGAGACAACAGTGATGGATGTCTCCAAAAGTTGTGCAGCCAAGGGGTGCCATGCTTGAGTCCAGGTCTCCTGACTCCCAGCTCAGTGCTTTTTTCCTTTATCACACTTTGGTAAAACAAAAAGATTGGAGCACATAAAACAAGTAAATTACAATATATGTCAGAGCCGAAAGAGCCTGTGGAATAATGAAAGATTATTATACTTAGGAACTATCCAAGAACAAGCTAAAACTAGGCTATGGCCACTGGGGCTTTGCCTCAGGGTACAGAATTCTGCTAGTACTAGTCCTGCCACATATAAACAACACAGCTTAGCACCTAGTTAGCAAGAATAATGTGAGCCCCTTCCCCATCCCTGGGCAATAGCGTCTCTAGCAGTAGCTTCACCACTCCTTCCCCCCTCCCTCCTCCCCACTCCCACCAACTCCATCTGGGTGCTTGCTTTATGCCATTTGCCCTAAGGGTGATTTGTGATATTTGTCCTGAAAGCCTTAGTTATAGCTTTGCTACAGAGACCCTCTAGTCCACCAACCTCAATTTAAAAATGAGGTAATTTAGCCCCAGAGGAGTGGAATGGTTTTCTCCATTGCATAAGCTAGTAAGTTAAAGAATCAGCATATAGACTCAGGTCTTCTGATTGCAAATCCGAGCTCTCTGTCCCCTCTACTCTGGAATCTTAAAGTTGAATCATAAAGATGATTAGACATCATCTAATCCAACTGTCTTATTTAATTCATGAGAGAATGGAGGCCTAGAAAGCCTAAGTGATTTGCCCAGGCTCCCACAGCTAGTCTGGGTCAGAGCCAGAACCCTAGAATCTGGATCTCGACTCCTGATCCAGTTGGTTTTCTGCTATACCTCAGCTTAGAATAGAAAAATGTCATATCCAGAACCCAAAGGAGGGAATCCAGATGTTAAAGAACAGTAAAAGGGAAGGAGTTGGGTAGGCTTGTAATGGTGGTAGATGGAATCTGAGCAGGGCCTTGAAGGACAGATAAAATTTGGAGAGGTTGGGAAGCTGCCACTAGTGATAGGACTAGCAAGAGGGTAGTGTGTGTAAGCAGTGGTGAGGAGACCAGTCTAGCTTCACCTCCAGTTCCTGACCTTTAGTTTCCATATTCCTAGAATGATTAATCCAAATGGGTACAAGTAGAAACAGAAGGGAAGAATCTCACTTGTTCAGGAAGACTATGATGAGGCTCCCCCATTGGCTTGACATGGGGAGTCATTGTTTTAATGGTGGTGATGAGTCAACAGTGTGACATGGCAGGTCCTTAGGATGGTTTAACTGAGTTTAGGCTTCAAAGTATCCAGAATGAGAGAGGCAATCATCCCTGTGTCCTCCACCCGTGTCAGAAGCCATTCGAAATATTCTCTTGAGTTCTGGATATCACATTTTAGGCATCCATTGGACAAGATGGCCTCTCAGGTCCCTTCCAACTTAGGTATTTTGTGAGGAAGCACACTGTTGAGAAGGACATACAGAAGGGGTTGACTGGGGTGGAGAGAGAACTGGAAAGCATACCAAAGGAAATGGGAATGTTTAGCTTACAGAAAAAATACTTAAGTGGGAGAAGGGACAGAGGGGAGAGGAGAGAGATATCACGTGAAAGAGGGATTAAACTTATTTTGCTTGGCCCAAGGACAGAACTAAGAGCAATAGGGGAGCAGATGTAGGGAAGCAGATTTCAGCTCAATATGAGGGGAAACTTCCCAATAATTCAAGCTCTTCCCAAGGAGATGAGGCTTTCTCCGGAGCCGTGAGTGCCCATGCACTGGAGCTCTTCCAGAAAGGTCTGAATGACCCACCCGGCACAGATGTTGACAAGTTCACACACAGATTAGACCACATGTATCCCGAAGTCTATGGGGCCAAGAGCTGGGTGAGAAAAACAAATGGTTGTCTCTGGCAGGCAGTCATCAGAGTCTCCAACCTAGGGCCAGCTCACCGAGTAAATGGCTTTTCTCTTAGCTCATGAGCACCGTCATCCTAATGGACTTTTCTTTGTCTTGGCAGGGAGACCCCGGAATTCAGGGATATCATGGACGAAAGGTCAGGGGGAAGGAGGTGTGGGGCGAGTAGTGATGGGAGGGATGGGTGGTGTGGGGGAGCAAAGGGGGCACAGCCAAAACAAATGTTTACTAAATGTCCTGAGTGTTGACTACTCATGACTCAGAAACTGGCACCGCGAATAATGTTTAACCAGCTGATTGGAAATATTCAGAGGTTTAAACTCTCAGATCTTCCCAGCACTATCCCCCCACCCCCCACCAATGTCTCCCCTCACTTTTGATGTACTGGAAAGAGCCTGAACTGGGAGTCAGCAGACCCGGCTCCTATTTCTTTCTCTATGACTCACTTGCTGTGTGCCTTCTCCGGGCCTCAGTTTGCTCATCTGTAAAATGAGATTGGACCAGGTGATACCTGATCACTCTTCCAGCTCGCCCATTCTGTGCCTATGGCATCACGCATCATGGCAGATGGTGCCCGAGCCTTTGATGGAGGCAGTAATCTCCTCTATAGTTTGAGAAGGTTGTAGTGTAGTGGAAAGAGTGATGGATGAACCTGGAGTCAAGAGATCCGGGTGCAAATTTGGGTTCTGACTCTTGATGGCTTTTGAATGAGGAATAATGCCATGAACCTCCCGAGCCTTATCTGAGAAATGGGGATGATAACAATCAAACTGCCCAGCCTCCCAGAGTGGCTGGGAAGAAAGCTCTCTGCAAATTCAGGAGATGAGGCCTCAGGGTACCCTGGGACAAGGCCTAGATTTGAAGTCAGATCACCTTTTTGTCACAAGATTACCAAACTTTCCTTTTTTAAGAGGATTACTAATTGTGCTAATAACTAGGTTTAGTCGTGCTTTCAAGGTTTGCAGCACTTTACAAAAGATACTTCATTTGATCCTTACAACAACTCTGGAAGACATTTCACCTCTGCCTGCCTCAGATTCCTCAACTGTAAAATGGTACTAATAACAGCACCTACCTCTCAAAGTTGTTGTGATGATCAAATGAGATAATACTTATAAAGTGCTTTGCAAACCTAAATGTGCTGTAAAAAGTTAGTTATAATTATGACAATTCCTTTGTACTCTGCCCTCATCAAACTTTATCTGTTGTAGTATGTTCTCCTATGGTTTAAGTAGGACAATGATAAGCTGGGAAGTGTCCAGAGAAGAGCAGCTAGGGTGGGGAAGGGTCCAGGTCAGGATTGGCTGAAGGACCCGGGGATGGCTAGCCTGAAGAGTAGACCCCATAAGGACATGAGAGCTGGGTTCACGTGTTGGGAGCGCTATTATATGGAAGAGGGATTGATTGGCCTTGCGCAGATGGACCCAGAAGGGCAGATGACCGGGAACTATGGGTGGAAATTGAAACGAGAGCAATTGAGGTTGGATGTCAGGAAAAAGCCTTCAGCTGGCTAGAAGGGTTCCCAAGTGGACTGGGCTGCCTTGAGGATGGACTCTTCATCCTTGGAGGACTTCACGCAGAAGCTGGAAAACCGCTAGTCGGAGTGTTAGAGTGGGAATTCCTTTGGCATATGGGATGGCCTAGAATGGCTCTGGAATCTCTTTCCACCCTCAAATTCTGTGCTTCTAAGGGACATTTCAAATCCCTTCCCTTTCTGAATCTGATTCTCTGAAACGTGTTATTCTTCTTAACTTTGCCCATTCTCGATGGCCCTGATAGGGAATGACCTTGCCCTTCCGGCACATCCTGGGGACCCTCCAGGAGCTGGAACCTTTGGGGAGTCACCTTCAGGTGGGAACTTTGAAGAAAGGAGGCAGGAAGCAGAAGGAACACGGAGGACAAGAAGGAAAGAATGTGAGGGGGATGGCGTAGAGCACCAGAGACGTGCATTCTTTGCACCCCATAACGAGGCGGGCTCCCATCACCGCAGCATTTTATGGAAGGCAGGCGGTGAATTGGTGAGGCCTGAGAGATCTTTAATTAGTTCTGCATAAACTGAGAAGTTTGTGTTATGCCAGGAAGTGAAAATTATAGCCCCCGTGGATTCCTACATCCATTCATGCAAGCTCACAAAATTTACTACCTCCCCTTTCTGCAAACTGTCGGTTTTCCCATTAGCATCATCTGACACTTTGCAGAGAGAACAGGGCTCTGGGGCTGGGAGGCGGCCACCATGGCCACAGTGGCTGGGAGGCATGTGTACCTGCCGTCAGAATCACCACTTCCTCTTAATGGCAGCTGGGATGTTTGCTCACCCACACAGTAGCTGACTCTATAAAGAAGTAGATTTAGAGTAAAGATGAGGAAAAGCTTCCAAACGATGAGAGCTGTCAAAGAACAACGTGCTACTTGAAGGGGTAGTGGCTCTCTCCTGCTAGGAGCCTGCAAGCAGAGGCTAGAGTGCCGTTTGTTGGAATTGTCATAGCAGGAACTCCCTTTCAGGTAGGGACCATACTAGATGGTGCTTGAGCTCCTCTCTGGAATTCTGTGGCTTTGGGTGATGGTTCACCTTAGTTCACAGAAAGGCATAGACCAGATATGAACTTGTATGGACCTAATATGTGATTTTATCATCCAGTGCGGTGGCTCACAGCCTTGGGAGACGCCATGGAGTTGGGCCTACCTTATAACACTTCCTATTCCTGGAACACTTTAAGGTTCAGTTTTACAATAATCCAATGAGATAGGTACTATAATTATTCTACCCATCTCACAGCTTCAGAAACTGAGACTCAAAGAGATCACAAGATCGCAGGATTTAGAGCTGGGACTTTGGGGAATGTCTTGTCCAGCCCTTTTATTTTGGGCAGAGGGGGCATATGGTAATTAACAGAGAAGGTACTGGACTTGGCAGTGAGAAATACTACAACTTGACCACAAGTTTGTTACAAAGAATAGGGGGCGAGGAAAGAAATGGAAGCAAGAGAAAATAAATGCTAGTTAGTTGGAAAAAATACATTTTTAAAAAAGAAGACCTGGGTTCAAATCCTACCCCTAACACTCCCTAGCTGCCTGACCCTAGACAAGTAGTTTAACCAATATGAGTCTCAAGGCCGCCATCTGTAGAATAGGAAAGATGGGAGGGATTGTGGTATTCTTTGAGTTGATCTGGTACACATACAAAAGCCTAAAGTAGAGTTGATAAATCAAAATAAATTAATAAAAAAATTTTTAAAGCCTAAATTGGGGCGATCATCTAATAACACTTATAAGGAGAGCCCAGGCCAAGGTCACCTTGGAGTCAGTGGCTCCAGAAAAATGTGACTCCCCAAGAGAAGTCTCCAAGGGGAGCTTCCATTGATCCAAAGAAAAAAGCCAGGTTGAAGAAGATGGGACTGAGAAACATGGGGACAAAAGACCTCATGCCCACCAGCATCTCCTTGTCTAGAAGAGGGAGGCTGTAGAGGAAATGGACAGAAGGACAAGAAGCATGGGCAGAGTGGTCAGGGGAAGGAGACTTGATGGGGATTCATAGGTGGGACCTAGGATCTATAGCATGAGGGAGCTTCAGAGAACATCTAATCCAACTTGGATTTTACAGATGAGGAAACCTGGCCCCCTTGAGTGGAAAAGACTTGTCCAAGGCCCTACAGTGGTTGGGAGTATAGCCGGGATGCCCACTGGTCCTCTGACTCCTCATCTCATGTTCTTTCTCACTATGGTGCACTACCTTTCTAACTTCCTGCAAGATTTGAGAGCTCTGATGGTTCTAATTTGGCCCTGGAGTTCTGATGGAACATAACCCAGACCAAGGCTCCTGGGAGAAGAGTGTGGAGTACTGGAAAGAGCCCAAGAACCAAAGTCAGGAGAAATGTGTTCAGGTCTCAGCTCTGATAATGAAATCTCATGTGGGCCTCAGTTTCTTCATCTGTAAAATGAGCTGGAGAAGAGAATAGCAAACCCCTGTAGTATATCTTTGCCAAGAAACCCCCAAATGAGGTCGTAAAGTCAAACACAACTGAAACAACCGAACAACAACAAGAAGAAAATGGCAGTGGGGGCTACAGAGTGATTGTCAGACGGACTTTAGGAAAACCTCACTGGAAGGTGTGTGGAGGATGGATTGCAGAGGCGAGACTATGGAAGCAGGGAAACTGGCTAGAAAGCTATGATGCTGGTCCAGACAAGAGGGAATGAAGACCCTGTTTGGGATGGAAGCCTGTGAGTGTAAAGAAGAAGAAAGATGGGCTTAGATGAGAAGAGAAAGGAGATCTAGCTACTAACCATTATAGAGAGTTGAATGACAGGGTTTGTTGAATTGAATTGAACTGAACATTGTGGAGCTAGCTTGTCAAAGTCCTTGCTTTATCCTTTCCCTGGCATGCATAGCGTTGCCAACATGGATTGGTACATCACCTGGTCCACGTGGGTCCTGTGCCCTCTTATCCTGTACCACTCTGTTCTGCATCCTTTTTTCTGCCTGTCCAGGACCAGGAAGGCAAAAAGGGCTGCCATCAGGAAGGCGGATACCTTCAAAAAGAGTCATGAGAATTTCTTTCTTAGGAGGAAAAAAGGTGAGAGGGTCAGGAAAAGTGAGAAGAGAAGCCGGGCACTAGTAATAGACATTTTCTTGGTGTTGGGAAGGCTGCCTCCATAGAACTATGGGGGTTACAAGAGGCCTGTGGAATAGCCAACCACTTGGGTTTTGATTCACCAGAGTTAGTAACTTGTCCCAGTAACTTGACCAAGAATCAAAAACCATTAGAGTTGGCCAACAAGGGAAACTGAGGTCACACAGCTAATCAGTCGTAAAGCCAAGGGGCTGAGTGTCTTCCCCGACAGTCTGCTAGTCTTTCCACTTCACCTCCATGCCTCTCCCCACGTCCTGTGTTGGGTGGGATTTGGGTCTTGCCAAAGGCATTTTTTCAGTCTCCGAAGTTGGCTAATGATTTGTTATGTTCCTCCCTCTTCCTTCCCTTCCTCCTCCCATCACCACCCCCGCCTGCCGTTGGACGGGACGAGTCTGGCATTTTTTATTTTCACAAAGGCTGGTTAGCCAATATGTCAGGTCTCAGCCAACACAGTGAGATCAAAGCTGAGGTTTGGCACCAGACAGACTCCTGCTCAAGGTTCCCCTCC